CCAATTCAGGAATGAGCTTGATAAGGAATGAGAATATTTCGACAGTTATGAGCTAAAATTCAGGAGTTGCAAGGGAAAAGAAGAGCGAGCAGTTCTAGAAGGAAAAAATAATCTAACAGAAAGCTTTTCTCCTTCCCTTCCTTTCATGCCCAGGGACTTGGAGGAAAATTCCTTCAGACCACTTACTCAGCTTGACCTGCTGCTCGCCCTGGAGAAGATGAAGGAGTCCAGAGGAGCCACTTCAGCCCGCTGACAGAACCAGCTTTGGACTGATTGGATGAGATTCCTAACCTGGAGAGCCAGGATTAACCTGACTGCAATTGCTCTACTTACTGCAGGGATGGCCAACCTTGGCCACTCTAAGACCTGTGGACTTCAACTCCCAGAATTCCGTAGCCAGCATGGCTGGCTGGGGAATTCTGGGAGTTGAAGTCCACAGGTCTTAGAGTGGCCAAGGTTGGACGCCCCTGTTCTGTTGTAACGTTAGAGCAGGGGTCTTCAAACCTGGCCCTTTTATGACTTGTGGACTTCAACTCCCAGAATTCCTCAGCCAGGCCCGCTGGGCAAAAAAGAAGAGAAAAAATATTGTATCGGTGTTAATTATAATTTGGGATAGAAATGTTACTCACACCATTTTTTTCACTTCTTCTTTTGTAGTTGGGTGTAACGTTGAAAAAGGACTCCTACAACTCACAACAAAATAATCAGGTTTCAGTTCTAAGCCGATTACTTATTAAAGTTTTGCTTGCCTGTGACTTTGCGTGTACTCGTGGATGCGTACGAGGTTAATAATTTCAATTAGTCTTGAGTTTTCATTTCTTCTAGAATGCCTCTTAAGTTTTGGAGGGTCCGCTAAGCCTCAGCTAAATGTTCCAATCACTGCTTCTGCTTTTTTTCAACCAGAAACAGAATTTAACACAGCCCAAGTTTTTTATTTTAATTTGGAGAGTACGTCTCACAACACAGTATTTGAAGATTTTTCCACTTCAAAATGCAGGAAATCATGTGAATCGCTTTCTTAAAGGGTGGTCAGAGAAGGCTCTGGGGAGCCCAGAAAAGAGGTTAAGTAACTTAGTTGTTCTCACGTAGAAGAAAATTGAGAAGTTGCTGATACATGGATGATGATACTTGACTTCCTCATAAGCCTTTTTTCTTCTGTCCCTCAGTACTGGGTTTGAGCTTCATTGGTTGCCGTTTGCTGCCATCTCCTGGTCAGAAGTTGTAAGTAGAGTCTGGTCTCACCGATTTGGGGAAAGTATTCCTTACCGCATCTTTGCCTTTTTGCCTGAAATTCAGCCTGCTCTGCAGGTGGAAGGCTGCCAAATACCAGGTTTCTGCAGAATATACGGGGCCAATGTGCTTGCAACTCTTACATTTGGGTTTCAAGCTGAGAAGACTCAGTTCCTTCGGGGGCTTGAGCCCAAACCCTGCTAAAACCACTAAAGAGAGAGCCAGGAACTAAATACACCATCATAGAAGCAATCCTAAATTCTAAATTCCACTTAAGAAACTGGCTGGGGAACTGGGGTTGTAACATGCTGCAAGGTAGAACTTGGTCCAGAAAAAGGAGCTTTTCAAAATGCCCGCCTGAATATTTATGGTCTCACCATAAATATCTACATGGTCTCACCCAACTTGAACAATGCAACTCTGGTGGCGAAATTAATTTTTAAAAAAATGAAGAAACAATCAATCAACTGCAGTTAAAATCCCAACAATAGCAACTAATAGGCAATTGGGAACCCAAGCGTGCTTCGTGGCCTTGATGTGGGAACCCCAATAATCACGATTCCAATATCCATGTATTTGAGGGAACCTGTCTTGGTCCTAAGTCTTCTGGTTCAAAAGGATAATTTTGTAACTTGTATACTATCAGATGCAGACCCAAACAAAAACTATGATTGTTAGCTAAAAGTATGATGGGATATGCACCCGTCCACATAAAACAACTTGAGCTGTTTCGATTCCTTCAGGAAAAGATGCATTACGACATCACAAGAAAGGTGGGTAGTACTGTCAGGATTCTAGAACAAAGAGCTAGGAGCCTGTACTTGTATCCAAGTAGTTGTATCCAAGACAACACTGGAAAAGACCAAGTAACTGCTGAAGGGTCTGTGTCCTAAAACTTGATTGCCAATTATTTTTGAGATCCGTCCATCAACAGCGCATGGAAATAGACTCAGCAAGCAGCTATTATCTTGTTGGAACCTTAAATATTTCATCTTCTTAGGGCCAGGTATACTGAGTGACGGAGGGAAATTAAGATTTCCAACCAACCAACCAACCAAACTTGGTTTCAGAAGAGCCAAACTGGCCTGTCTGACAAAGGCGACCTGGGGTTTTTCCAAAGCAGCTACAAGGTGTCTCTAAAGGCAACACTCCCCAAATTGCCAAATGACTTCTTGGCAAGGGTGTATCAACAATTTCATGAGAGATGGCTTGTGCTGCGATGCCGCAGTTATCTCCATAGCACAACAGCAGGTCTTGCGTGCCCATCAAGGTGGCATCTTGTCCAGAATGACCAAACCAGAAATCCAAGCTCTTCTTGGCACAAACAGAAACGTACTCCTCACTCAGGGTTTGACGCTGGGTGGCCACAAATGTCTGGTCATACGAGACAATCTGTACACTGATGCCCAACAACACACGATGGATCTCCGAACCAAGGTCTACCGTGGGGACAAGAAGGACAGCTGCACCCATGCCATCGCTGTGGTCCTGGTTAACCCGATTTGCCTCATCCTGATTGGTATGCAAGGGATTCAGGGAGGGACGCTGAATCTGAAAGCTTTCCAGACAGCAAAGTACATTAAAGAACATTTACGCCAATAATTACGCAACAAGCTTCTACCGTCGTACCAGCTACGGGCCCCTCTTTTACCAGTCCAGCTTGCAAAGGATGACATTTTTCTTTCCATCCCATGGAAGAACACGCAGGAGAGGAGGATCCTGGTAACTTCTAAGAAAGTCCACGTCCAGTGGGACTGATGTTTCAGACCTGATGATCTTTAAACTTCCATCTTTGAATGAGCACTTCAGAACAAAATTCCATCTACAGCTCCTGGAGGCAGGAGCAGCTTCCTGGAGGTCCTACTAATGACCGAGTCTTTCCAAGAATGTCTTGAAGCTGTTCACTTTTCATCCTCAGCAATTCTGTTTCCTAGAGACCACCCTGGATTTTACCCCACAGATCTTCGGCTCCTACCCATAGACAGTACGCAAACACTTTTTAAATCCACGCCTGACTGCTTCGATTTCTATTTCTGATGCTGCCAGCTGTTTGATTAGTAGGCTTTCTTAAAACGTTTATAAAGAGATTTCCCAAAAAAAATTACAGTTATTTTGCAGCCTATAATCTTGCTTTGCCATTTGTTTTCTTCTATCTCACTTGGTAATTTCCTTGCTTCTACTCTGGATATCCGCTAAGGCTTGTTGTTGGTGGGCAGTTTAAAATGCAACAAATACATGGGACTTTGCAAAGGGAAATGATTTAATTCTACATCTATGCTGGTAAGAAGGCTCTTATTTATTGGATGTTTCTTCCTTGGCTTACAATAAAGAGCAGACCCTGAACACTGCCCCTTAGGCCTCTTCATTCAAGAAAACTTGAGTTCTCATTGCTAGATATCAATAAAAAATATCAGCAGAGGTGTAGAGGAAGCCTGTAAAGGACACCGGTTTCTCTCTTAGTCACAATTGTTGAATTAATTGCAAAGTGTGGTTTCCATTAAAACAGCCTTGCTCAGTCTAGTTTGCCCCAGCTTTGTTAAGACTTCAATGGCCTTGGCTGTCTCAGGAAGCATGGAGGTCTACTGTGTTAATATTGCCTTCTGTAATCAAACTAAATAAAACATCCACTGATAAACAATACATTTCTGATTCTGAAAGGTTGAAAAGAAAAAAGGTCCATATAATACCTTAAGATATTTTTTATAAGCAGCTGGGACAGGCACTTTTTGATTCTCAAGAGTTCCTACTTCTTCTCTTTTTTTCTTCTGGCTCCACTAGTTATCTCTTTTCCCCCCAATGATCACAAAGTATCTCAGACTCCACTGTCCCAAAGCTGCTTTTGCTATGAGCGCCAGATTCTCTGTCATTTTCAATCAATTAATATTTGCACATGGTTAACATGCTGCCGTACATTGTTCTCTTTATAAGGAATACTGTAGATGACCAGGCCGGGCCCGAGGCAGGGGTCAAACGCATCGTAAGTCATGAGTCTCTGCATACCCACAAAAGATCTAAGTCCAGCCCAACTTGAATTCCTTCTATTCTTATCTCCCGCTCATTTCCCTTGACCATTAGTTGGCCAGGTTGTTGTAGAGAGTTTTAAGCTTGCAATAAATCTTTGTACTCCTTTGAACCGCCCAAATCTCCTGATTTCCCAGGCACTTGACAAATAATGTCAAGTCTTACTGGACTGCCTAAGTATCCACTGACAGGTGAGGTGAAAATGTCTTCCCCGTTTCCTTACTTCGTAGCTTCAAAGTGCAAACGTATTCAGATTCCTTGGACTGTACACACAGAATCATTCCAGTCCACTTTTATTTACAGATATACAGGGGATAAATAAACGACAAAAACTTGACCGCAAAGTTGTTGCTCTCTCCAATTTTCCGTAGTCAAGATCAAATAAAAGGTGCCCAGTTGGGAAAAAAAAAAAGCTTCAACGGAGGACTAATCTTTGCAGTAAATGCTACCATGAGCTTTCTCAGGTTTATGATGTCCCGGTTGCTGTAAAGAACAAAACCCCGAGCAGAATAAATACTTTAACTGCTGCTCTGTAAAAAATCTTTAAACACTTAATTGTCCTCTTTGGCAAAGCAAGATAATGAAGGCAAGCAAATCAGAACTTTCTTGTGATCCGTGTCCAAAGTCCAAGGTAGAGTGTGAAAGGAAAATCATTTTAAGCCAGAGCATTGAATTCCTCAATAGGTGTGTGTGTGTGTGTGTGTGTGTGTGTGTGAGAGAGAGAGAGGGGAGGGCAGGCAGGCAGACAGACAGTCAGACAGAAGTGTGGGTAGAATGATTTTGGCTATAATGATCAGAATAAGCTTTTCTGATGACAAAACTGATCCCTTGTTGAGAGACAGAGGAACTACCATCCAGCACTTCTCATCATTCCTACCACTGCAGGAATCTTTCACTGAGGACAACAAGTACAGCGATGCTTGGTCGCTTCAAGTAGAGAGAATGAAAGCCTGATTAAAAGCGCGAGGTGTTTCTCTTTCCCATCTACATTTATAAAAGAAGCCTGTCGATGTTCTGGGCAACAGAGGCGTACGGGGTATCTCACTGCCAAAGAGACGGTCTAATGTGTCTTCCCAAACCCCTCACACCTTTTCTCCTACTGCAGTGTGTGTGGTAGGTTAAGATCCGGAAGGCGAAAGAGAAACGGCATCATGGTACAATCTCCTACAGATGTTTGGAACGGTGACATCTTCTCTAGCACCTGCAGGAAACAGCTGCCAAACAGGCCATCTTGGCTCCAGGGCTCACATCTTTCCAATCTCTCTTTGGGATAATATCACCAGGTGTAGTGTGCGCAATTAAGTTATGAAAGTCATTACCAGGCTGCAGGTCACATCCTGTATGGAACTGGGAGGAAGGACGCAGCAAGTCCTCGGGACCCTTTGCCCTAACTTCAGGGATTCTAGAGCGCCAGATAATCTCCAACAACGGAAGATGTTGGGTCAGTCTCGTTCCCGCAAACGTTGCCAATCTCGTCTAGCAGAGTCTTCCTAGAAACGCTTCTGTCTTCGTCAACTTAGGAACGGGCACTTTTGGAGAGTCCAAATCATTGTTGTCAGGCAGGACAACTAGCTACTCCGGCAAAGAGCTTTTACAGCAGCAGTTCTATCGATGCTTGTAGGCCAGCAAGCTCTCAAAATCTGGAGCGCAAACCAGCTTGTGCTTCACGTGGCCCAAGACGATCATCTCGCCACTCCGATTGTCCCCGATGCTGACCGAGACCAGCTCCTTTGCAAGGCCAAGAGAAAAGGACAATTACTCCAACGCTCCCCCAAAGTAAAAAGTAAACAAGCATCAAGATCCAATCAAGGAACCTTTCCGGGTCTGAAGTAGCAAGAGATTTTGTGAAACGGATTTTGAGGGTCAGCATAAACCCACTCAGTGGCAGGTCTCAGTCAGGGGCTCTGTCTGCCGATTTCCCCGCTGCAAAAGCCTTTTAGAAATATAAGCAATTCCCAGTCGTTTAAATTAAGCCAGAGCCAAACAAAACAAAAACCTGTTCTATCCTGAAAGCTTGGGGCTAACATCAGAATAATAATAATAATAATAATAATAATAATAATAATAATAATAATAATAATAATAATAATAATAATAATAATAAAAAATAATAAATAATAATAAATAATAATAATAATAATAATAATAATAATAATAATAATAATAATAATAATAATAATAATAAAAAACAAGAATACTTGTTTAACTCCTCACTCCTTTTCCACGCCAGCGAGACTTAATTATTCCTTAATCTAGACCATCATTTCTCAATCTTAGTAATTTATCTGGATATTTTGATTCCTGAGCATTCCGTGCATTCTTCTTGCTGATCCAGACCCAGTTTTGGCACCATGCTGACTTTGAGCAAAGAGCTGTCACCACTGTTCATCCACTAGTGCAGGGGCAGGCAACCTTGGCTCTTTTATGACTCGTGGACTTCAACTCCCAGAATTCCTGAGCCAGCATGAGGGAAACTTTGACCCCTTCATGACTCGTGGACTTCAACTCCCAGAATTCCTGAGCCAGCATAGCTCAGCTTGGAAACCTCTCCCTTTCCCCTCAGCATGGCTGGCTCAGGAATTCTGGGAGTTGAAGTCCAGGAGTCATAAAAGAGCCAAGGTTGCCTCCCCCTGCACTAGTGCATAGCTTTTTTTAAAAAAGGGTATTTGCATGTATATGGTTTATATTTTCAAGCAGGATGTCCAACCTCTGCAACTTTTAAGACCTGTGGACTTCAACTCCCAGAATTCCCCAGTCAGCCATGCTCTGTCCACAGGTCTTAAAAGTTGCCAAGGTTGGACACACCCAACTTAAACAGAGGTCTTGTGGGAAACCTACAGACAACTCAGGGCTCTCTGGCGCCAGTTGGAAGCGCATGGGACCAAATAGGATATCTCCATTAAGATTCTCCCATCAGTCTTAAGGGCTATTAAGTGCCTAAGCCAAGACCACAGCCTGAGAGCACGAATATTCCCAAACCATCTCAACCGCGGTTTGACTGCAGCATTTGGGGCGAGGTGTCACACCAGCCCTTTGCTAGCTGCTTGTTTCTTGCAATTGCTATTCCCAGATACACAGGCCCTGAACCCTTCTCGTTTGAAATGGTCTCTGAAGGGCAGCCACGTCCCACGAGAGAAGGCCTACCTGAAGGAAGGAGCAGGGTGTTCCCGTGGTTACATCAAGAGTCACTTGGCCAAGAACAAGTTGCACTTTCCCCGATTTGCGGATCAGCAACTTCCCCACCTGCCCTTCTGAGAGGTTCCCCAGGGTGCAGGTATTCTCTGCTTCCTTGGCCTCCTGGAATAGCAGAAGTGGACAAGTTTAGGAGCTGAGGAAGAAATCAAGATTAGAGCATTCGGAAACTCGCTCTGAGCTCTCCCTTAAAATGTAATTACAATCCTATTTTCTGTGCCCGGACAAGACGAGCTGAATGCCAAGAGAGTCCTATAGAAGCAAAACAGGAAAATTCATTTTTGGGGGGGGGGAAGCTTCCTTAGCTTCCACTAATTATAGGATAATTATGCTGATAAAAACCCAACTCCGGGGAAATCCTTTAGGTTCTAGCATTGCCATCCCATCTCAAAATATACATTTGTAATCAACGGCTAGGCCAGGGGTAGGCAACCTTGGCTCTTTTACCACTCGTGGACTTCAACTCCCAGAATTCCTGAGCCAGCCATGCTGAGGGGAAAGGGAGAGGTTTCTAAGCTGAGCCGTGCTGGCTCAGGAATTCTGGGAGTTGAAGTCCAGGAGTCATGAAGGGGCCATAGTTCCCTCATGCTGGCTGAGGAATTCTGGGAGTTGAAGTCCACCCATCTCCGAGTGGCCAAGGTTGAGAAATACAGGCCTAAACCAGGGGTAGGGAACCTTGGCTCTTTTATGACTCGTGGACTTCAACTCCCAGAATTCCTGAGCCAGCATGAGGGAAACTTTGGCCCCTTCATGACTCGTGGACTTCAACTCCCAGAATTCCTGAGCCAGCATGGCTCAGCTTGGAAACCTCTCCCTTTCCCCTCAGCATAGCTGGCTCAGGAATTCTGGGAGTTGAAGTCCACGAGTCATAAAAGAGCCAAGGTTGCCTACCCCTGGGCTAGATCATGGTTGTTTCTCTGCAGAAATGCCAACATCCTGGCTTCCCTCAGACCAACTTCCAGGTCTCCGTTTGCAGCCACAAAGGCCACACGCATCGCAGTAGCATCTGCAGATTCCTGCCGTTTGATTCAGCAGGAGCCGCACCTGGGTCTTCTCCTGTTTTATCACCATCATCTGCCCATCCTCGTTCTGCACTTCTGTTTTCAGCGGCTTAGTGTCCTGTGTGGGCGGCTGTCCCGGGAGCGTGTCTGGCAGCTGCAGGAACAGCAAATCTTCCTCCTTGGAGAGGCTCAACCTGGGCAGCAGTTCCGCAAGAGAGACATCGTGAGGGAAGGGAGGAGGGGTTTTTGTGGGCGCTGGAGCCTGGGCACGTGGCGTCTCCTCTTCATCATGGGGTTCTTCTTTCACTGACAGAGAGAGAGAGACCGAGAGAGAGACAGAGAGAGACACAGAGAGAGAAAGAGAAAGATGCAATAATAATAATAATAATAATTTTTATTTGTGGTCACAGACCAAAATGCAAGTGCAACAAAAGAAAACACAAGAAAATATAATCACAAACAATTAAACACCAGAAGCCTTGGCTAAAGGAAATCACAACGTTTTCCTCTAATAGTTACAGCTCTTAAAAGAAATTTAGAAACCTGAAAAGTAATATAGGAGGAGCCATCCCCTAAACAATATATAAAACCAAATTACTAACATTAGAACCAGAGGGATCAATTCCAAGGAGAGACAGTAATTTAATTCTGCCTGTGTTATACATAGGGCAGTATGGGAGAGAGAAAGAGACAGAGAGAGAGAGAGACAGAGAGGATCACTAGAGCTGTCACACAGTCCTAAAGCTATACTGCCAGCTCAGTGCATTGCAAGCTCCAGCCAACTGAGATTTGAAAAATGGAGCATCAATGCTTATGCTTTGTGCCAGGACTCTCCTTCCTTTATATACAAGTACAGGTGGTCCTCAACTTGCGATCACAACTGAGAGCAAAGTGAGAATTTGGTAAGTGAGTTTTGCCCTATTTTACGACTTTTCCTGTTAAGTGAATCACTGCAGTTGTCAAATTAGTAACATGCTTGTTAAGCGAACCTGGTATCCCCCACTGGCCTTGCCAGAAGGTTGCAAAAGGGGATCACGTGACCCCCGGGACACTGCAACCGTCATCAATACGAGTCAGTTATACCAAGCGTCTGAATTTTGATCACGTGACCCTGGGGACGCTGTAACGGTCGTGCCGTAAGTCAACAGTCATAAGTGACTTTTTCCAGTGCCTTTGTAACTTCGGTCACTAAGTGAACTGTTGCTAAGTTGAGGACTACCTGTACGTACGTAAGGATCATTTTTATAGCAAGCCATGAGAAGACGTTAAGAGCTCGCGAGATGGACTAGGGCAGAAGTGGAAGACCGTGCTTTCGATGAATTGCATCACAAGTAGACAAGTAGACAAAGGACAGCATGACTGTCCTTTGGCACAGCAGCTGCAACATGGCTGCTCTTTGCCTTGAGCAGCGGTTCTCAACCTGTGGGTCGGGACCCCATTTGGGGTCGATCGACCATTTCACGGGGGTTGCCAAGCAAGGCTGTCCGCCATTTTTCCCCCCTTTTCCGGCGGGTGCCTTACCTCCCTTGGGCTGGGCCAGCTGGTGGTCGGCCTGCTCCGTCTCTGCCGCTTGCCAGCTACGCCTCGGCCGGCGCAGGGGGGGCGGAACCACACATGCGTGGCGCTCCTGGGCAGGGAAAGTCCTTGACTTACGACCGGTTGGGTAGTCCTCGACTTACGACCGGTTTAGTCCTCGACTTACGACCGGTTTAGTCCTCAACTTACGACCGGTTGGGGTCGCGGCATTAAAAAGGTTGAGACCCACTGGCCTTGAGCAATCAGAGCTGGTTCAGCATCCCATTTTCTACAGCAGCCACAGGGCTGCTTCTGGAGACCCGGACACCAAATGACTACAGCCGTATCTCCCGGTCTGTCCCCTTCGTAACTGCCCACCATCACACGTGCCCCAACTCTTCTCTTCTTGCAGGAAATGACAATACATACAATGCCAGGGCTGCAAAATGCCCACTTTATCTGCTGACTCATCTGCTCCAAGTCAGCGTGAGCCGCCTACCTTTCACCGAAGATACATCTGTTTCCAGCTCCTCCTCCTCTTTATGGCCGGCGTTCAATAGCTTGCTCTCCTCTTGATCATCCCCTTCTTCCTTGAAAAGCCAACCAGAATGTGCCAGGGGCAGCTGAACTGGCTTGTTTCGAATGTCATTTTTCAAGCCTGGGTCATCCAGGAACTGGGACCAAAGAACGAAAGAGAAAACGGCTGGTTAAAGAAGAGGACCATTCCTGGAGACTATTTCACACGCTATCCCAGGAGTCTGTTTTGGGGACAATGATGATCTGGGGGTTTTCTAATCTTTCTTAAGTCTTTTTTTTTTAATGTCAAGCTGAGCCAGCATGAGGGAAACTTTGACCCCTTCATGACTCGTGGATTTCAGCTCCCAGAATTCCTGAGCCAGCTTGGCTCAGCTTGGAAAGCTCTCCCTTTCCCCTCAGCATGCCTGGCTCAGGAATTCTGGGAGTTGAAGTCCACAAGTCATGAAGGGGCCAAGGTTGCCTACCCCTGGTCTAGACTGTATTTCATCAACCATTGGCAACATATCAATGTGCAGAGAATTTTTTCCCTAGGTACAAGCTTCCTAAACCTGCCCTTTATTCCTACAGCGGAGATCACAAAGGGATACAGAAACAACTATAGATGAAAAAAAAATGAACACAAAAAAAGGTCATCCTGTGTTAAAATCGTATCAGATTACAATGAATTGAAACATTCCTATTTTAAGGAACATGTTCAATATATACATATACCCTCAACTCCACTTAGCAACAGTGCCCACCAATGCTTTAGAACAGGGATCTCCAACCCCCAGTCCATGGACCCGCACCAGTCCGCGGCCTGCGAGGAATCAGTCTGTGCAAGCAAGCGAAGCCCCATCCCTGTACATGTGGGATACAGGCAACATGTGAAACCACACACACTCCGTCTGCGGAAAAACCGCTCTCTGCAAAATTGGTACACAGTGCCCAAAAGGTTGAGGGGTCACTGCCTTAGAGGCTGAGTCCTATGATGATAAAGTTCATATTATTTGGGCAGTTTATGGATGTTTTTTCCCCAAATGTGGCCATTCTCAAACTCACATCATCTTTCTCCAACATGCGCAAAATCTTCTTAGTCTCTTCATCTGTCTCCCTCTTCTCTTTCTTGATGTTGATGATGTGGGATGGGCCAAAATCAGACATATCCACTGACTTATCCCAGGTACCTGCGCAGAAGGCAAGAATAACAGCACTGCACGTTGCACATCTCACAATGCAACTTTATGGTGGCCAGCTGAGAAGAGCCTGGGACGGTCAAGTCACCCACACCAGACATTTCGTTGAGAGTTAGGTCAAAAAAGCTTTACTAGAATCACCGGTGGACCCATCCAGGTTTATGCAAACAAGAAAAGAGAAGATGAGTCGGGGAGAAGGAATAAGGGAAAAAAGAGGATTCTGGAGAAAGGTGTGATTAATTGATGATCAATGGAATAGTTCTGTGTTCATGCAACATGCTGGAGACAGATTAACAGTTTTCCAAGATGTCTTGTTTGACCAAGAGTTTTTGGGCAAGGGAGAATCACTTGTTCACCCAAGGACGAATTAAGTACTGAGCCTATCCTAGCTTCCTGTCACCTTCTGGTAGCTTTCACAAACAAACAAACAAACAAACAAAAAATGGGAATCCAGTCTGTAGGTGCCAGAGTTGATGTCACAGAGAATCTTGTCCACTTCCTCCCAAATAGCCCCCACTGAACATTGCCATCTCTGATGGACTTGTTCAACCAGCTTTGATGCTGAGGATTTCTACACCAACCCTCAAGATGCACTATCACAGCTTACTTAAAAGCTTTCCATCAGATTCAGCACATTCCTACTAATTTATCCCATCCTATTTTACAAGTCTACCGTGATTCCCCCTGCATACTGTAATGCCTGATGCTGGTGGGGTGAGAACCCACCGGCTAAGAGTCTTAAGGAAAGCTTTATGAGTTCACAGTGACAATTAAAAAGCCCAAAGAGTAGCCATTGGACTACCTCAACTTAAATCATTCTCAAACCTTTCTTCCTCATCATTTCTGCTGGGCCTTGCTCAAAGATGGAGTGAGACTGAATAACTTCTGGCCTCCCTCTGCCTCGTCCATGGCTTTCCCTCTGCCGATCTCGATCCCGGTCTTTCTTCTCTTTTGTGACGGAAAGGTCCTCTTTGGGCCTAAACAGAAAAAAAACCAAACAAACCAGAAAATATGTAATCAATTGCTCAACGAGAGCTAGAGACCTGTCTTTAGGATTTAAAAGGCTCCAAAATATTCAGAAGTTTCCTAAGGCCTTTTACATCTCTAGCTTTATAAGGACTGACCCTCTTTCAGACATGCTAAAAGAGCAAATGATAGAGTTGGGAATGGATAGATAGCTGATAGTTGCAGTTAAGTACCTGGCAGTTGACAGGGGGGAAAAGGAAAGGAAAAGAACTATATAAATGAAAGTATCTATAGAGATTCTCAACCTTCCAAATCACGATTGTCCCAAAGGTGGTTTTTTTCCCCCCAAAAGGCAACTGGATTTTCTTTGAAAACATTTCGCTTCTGATCCGAGATTCTTCAATTCTAAACTGAAGAAGCTTCTTGGATGAGAAACGAAACATTTTCAAAGAAAACACCAATGAAGTCTAGTTGTGTTTTGAAAAAAAAAAAAGCTTTGGGATATATAAATGAAAAGAAGAACAAAACGGATTTTTGTGAAAAAAAGACGCAGGCATTCTAAAGGCCTATATATCTTTCCACAAAATCAACATGCAGTTTTAATTGTTTATTAACAAGTGGTTACCTGGGCAAATGAGAAACACACGATAATAACCACCCCTGCCAACCACATATGTTATTCAAAGAGAGCTGATAAAACAGCAGATAAGCACTGTACGAGAACTATATTTTGGTAAGGACAGGGGTAGTATGATTTTAAATGATATTAATTTCTTCCCAAATAATACCTTAGGAAATGTTGACTAAATAAGCCAAGCAACACCTTAGTGCAAAATTATAGGTTGAACAAATAGCGTCAAAATATAGCAACTCAGGAGGTAGATTCATTGGATAACTTCGGGTTAAGGCTGAAACAGATCCTCTCAGTTCTTTATTGACCATTAAGCATTCCTTCATATTAATACACTCCATAAAAAAGCATTGAAAGGGAACTTACTCTTCTTTGATTTTCCTGCTAATAATGTTAGGGGCAAAGGTTTTCTAAAAAAAAAACAAACAAACAGGAGACAAGAGAACAAATATAGATTAGGCACAATGTTTTGTTTATGACATTCCTCAGAGTACATAGTGTGCTAAAATAGAAACTCCAATCTTTATTTGATTTGATTTATATAACTACCCGTCTCACTTTGATACTATAGTACGGTGAGCTATACTATAAAACTAATAAATATAATTGAGATTCTCACATTTCTTTGGGAAGACAATATTTTTTTAGCATTCTTCATAGTTGCACCGCTTGGAGAAGATATTTCTTTTAACATGTTTTATTTATTTATTTATTTATTTTTATTTAATTTAATTTATATGCTGCCCTTCTCCCAGCGGGACTCAGGGCGGCGCACAACATATTTAAAACAAAAACATATATACAATCCCCCCCTATAAAACCGAATTAAACCGAATTTTAGAGTTGTGTCTTCCAAATTCCTTAAAATGAGCCCAGTATAAAATCCTCCCTAGGTCAGGTCCGCTTGCTGAAAGAGCCATGTCTTGAGGGCGCGACGGAAGNCAGGGGCTCTGTCTGCCGATTTCCCCGCTGCAAAAGCCTTTTAGAAATATAAGCAATTCCCAGTCGTTTAAATTAAGCCAGAGCCAAACAAAACAAAAACCTGTTCTATCCTGAAAGCTTGGGGCTAACATCAGAATAATAATAATAATAATAATAATAATAATAATAATAATAATAATAATAATAATAATAATAATAAAAAAACAAGAATACTTGTTTAACTCCTCACTCCTTTTCCACGCCAGCGAGACTTAATTATTCCTTAATCTAGACCATCATTTCTCAATCTTAGCAATTTATCTGGATATTTTGATTCCTGAGCATTCTGTGCATTCTTCTTGCTGATCCAGACCCAGTTTTGGCACCATGCTGACTTTGAGCAAGGAGCTGTCATCAGTGTTCATCCACAAATGCAAGGGTAGGCAACCTTGGCTCTTTTATGATTCGTGGACTTCAACTCCCAGAATTCCTGAGCCAGCATAGCTCAGCTTGGAAACCTCTCCCTTTCCCCTCAGCATGGCTGGCTCAGGAAGTCTGGGAGTTGAAGTCCACAAGCCATAAAAGAGCCAAGGTTGCCTACCTCTGGCCTAAGCCTAGGCCGCTTTATGACTCGTGGACTTCAACTCCCAGAATTCCTGAGCCAGCATGGGGGAACTATGGCCCCCTCATGACTGGTGGACTTCAACTCCCAGAATTCCTGAGCCAGCGTGAGGGAACTATGGCCCCCTCATGACTTGTGGACTTCAACTCCCAGAATTCCTGAGCCAGCATGGCTCACCTTGGAAACCTCCCTTTCCCCTCAGCGTGGCTGGCTCAGGAATTCTGGGAGTTGAAGTCCACCAGTCATAAAAGAGCCAAGGTTGCCTATCCCTGCACTGGTGCATAGCTTTTTTAAAAAAGGGTATTTGCATGTATACGGTTTATATTTTCAAGCAGGGATGTCCAACCTCTGCAACTTTTAAGACCTGTGGACTTCAACTCCCAGAATTCCCCAGCCAGCCATGCTCTGTCCACAGGTCTTAAAAGTTGCCAAGGTTGGACACACCCGACTTAAACAGAGGTCTTGTGGGAAACCTACAGACAACTCAGGGCTCTCTGGCGCCAGTTGGAAGCGCATGGGACCAAATAGGATATCTCCATTAAGATTCTCCCATCAGTCTTAAGGGCTATTAAGTGCCTAAGCCAAGACCACAGCCTGAGAGCACGAATATTCCCAAACCATCTCAACCGCGGTTTGACTGCAGCATTTGGGGCGAGGTGTCACACCAGCCCTTTGCTAGCTGCTTGTTTCTTGCAACTGCTATTCCCAGATACACAGGCCCTGAACCCTTCTCGTTTGAAATGGTCTCTGAAGGGCAGCCACGTCCCACGAGAGAAGGCCTACCTGAAGGAAGGAGCAGGGTGTTCCCGTGGTTACATCAAGAGTCACTTGGCCAAGAACAAGTTGCACTTTCCCCGATTTGCGGATCAGCAACTTCCCCACCTGCCCTTCTGAGAGGTTCCCCAGGGTGCAGGTATTCTCTGCTTCCTTGGCCTCCTGGAATAGCAGAAGTGGACAAGTTTAGGAGCTGAGGAAGAAGTCGAGATTAGAGCATTCGGAAACTCGCTCTGAGCTCTCCCTTAAAATGTAATTACAATCCTATTTTCTGTGCCCGGACAAGACGAGCTGAATGCCAAGAGAGTCCTATAGAAGCAAAACAGGAAAATTCATTTTTGGGGGGGGGGGGAAGCTTCCTTAGCTTCCACTAATTATAGGATAATTATGCTGATAAAAACCCAACTCCGGGGAAATCCTTTAGGTTCTAGCATTGCCATCCCATCTCAAAATATACATTTGTAACCAACGGCTAGGCCAGGGGTAGGCAACCTTGGCTCTTTTACCACTCGTGGACTTCAACTCCCAGAATTCCTGAGCCAGCCATGCTGAGGGGAAAGGGAGAGGTTTCTAAGCTGAGCCGTGCTGGCTCAGGAATTCTGGGAGTTGAAGTCCACGAGTCATGAAGGGGCCAAAGTTTCCCTCATGCTGGCTCAGGAATTCTGGGAGTTGAAGTCCACGAGTCATGAAGGGGCCAAAGTTTCCCTCATGCTGGCTCAGGAATTCTGGGAGTTGAAGTCCACAAGTCATGAAGGGGCCATAGTTCCCTCATGCTGGCTGAGGAATTCTGGGAGTTGAAGTCCACCCATCTCCGAGTGGCCAAGGTTGAGAAATACAGGCCTAAACCAGGGGTAGGGAACCTTGGCCCCTTCATGACTCATGGACGTCAACTCCCAGAATTCCTGAGCCAGCATGAGGGAAACTTTGGCCCCTTCATGACTCGTGGACTTCAACTCCCAGAATTCCTGAGCCAGCATGGCTCAGCTTGGAAACCTCTCCCTTTCCCCTCAGCGTGGCTGGCTCAGGAATTCTGGGAGTTGAAGTCCACGAGTCATAAAAGAGCCAAGATTGCCTACCCCTGGGCTAGATCATGGTTGTTTCTCTGCAGAAATGCCAACATTCTGCCTTCCCTCAGACCGACTTCCAGGTCTCCGTTTGCAGCCACAAAGGCCACACGCATCGCAGTAGCATCTGCAGATTCCTGCCGTTTGATTCAGCAGGAGCCGCACCTGGGTCTTCTCCTGTTTTATCACCATCATCTGCCCATCCTCGTTCTGCACTTCTGTTTTCAGCGGCTTAGTGTCCTGTGTGGGCGGCTGTCCCGGGAGCGTGTCTGGCAGCTGCAGGAATAGCAAATCTTCCTCCTTGGAGAGGCTCAACCTGGGCAGCAGTTCCGCAAGAGAGACATCGTGAGGGAAGGGAGGAGGGGTTTTTGTGGGTGCTGGAGCCTGGGCACGTGGCGTCTCCTCTTCATCATGGGGTTCTTCTTTCACTGACAGAGAGAGAGAGAGAGAGAGAGAGAGAGAGACAGAGACAGAGAGAGACACAGAGAGAGACACAGAGAGAGAAAGAGAAAGATGCAATAATAATAATAATAATAATTTTTATTTGTGGTCACAGACCAAAATGCAAGTGCAACAAAAGAAAACACAAGAAAATATAATCACAAACAATTAAACACCAGAAGCCTTGGCTAAAGGAAATTACAACGTTCTCCTCTAATAGTTACAGCTCTTAAAAGAAATTTAGAAACCTGAGAAGTAATATAGGAGGAGCCATCCCCTAAACAATATAAAACCAAATTACTAACATTAGAACCAGAGGGATCAATTCCAAGGAGAGACAGTAATTTAATTCTGCCTGTGTTATACATAGGGCAGTATGGGAGAGAGAAAGAGACAGAGAGAGAGAGAGACAGAGAGGATCACTAGAGCTGTCACACAGTCCTAAAGCTACACTGCCAGCTCAGTGCATTGCAAGCTCCAGCCAACTGAGATTTGAAAAATGGAGCATCAATGCTTATGCTTTGTGCCAGGACTCTCCTTCCTTTATATACAAGTACAGGTGGTCCTCAACTTGCGATCACAACTGAGAGCAAAGTGAGAATTTGGTAAGTGAGTTTTGCCCTATTTTACGACTTTTCCTGTTAAGTGAATCACTGCAGTTGTCAAATTAGTAACATGCTTGTTAAGCGAACCTGGTATCCCCCACTGGCCTTGCCAGAAGGTTGCAAAAGGGGATCCCGTGACCCCCGGGACACTGCAACCGTCATCAATATGAGTCAGTCTGAATTTTGATCACGTGACCCTGGGGACGCTGTAACGGTCGTGCCGTAAGTCAACAGTCATAAGTGACTTTTTCCAGTGCCTTTGTAACTTCGGTCACTAAGTGAACTGTTGTTAAGTTGAGGACTACCTGTACGTACGTAAAGATCATTTTTATAGCAAGCCGTGAGAAGACGTTAAGAGCTCGCGAGATGGACTAGGGCAGAAGTGGAAGATTGTGCTTTCGATGAATTGCGTCACAAGTAGACAAGTAGGCAAAGGACAGCATGACTGTCCTTTGGCACAGCAGCTGCAACATGGCTGCTCTTTGCCTTGAGCAATCAGAGCTGGTTCAGCATCCCATTTTCTACAGCAGCCACAGGGCTGCTTCTGGAGACCCGGACACCAAATGACTACAGCCGTATCTCCCGGTCTGTCCCCTTCGTAACTCCCCACCATCACACGTGCCCCAACTCTTCTCTTCTTGCAGGAAATGACAATACATACAATGCCAGGGCTGCAAAATGCCCACTTTATCTGCTGACTCATCTGCTCCAAGTCAGCGTGAGCCGCCTACCTTTCACCGAAGATACATCTGTTTCCAGCTCCTCCTCCTCTTTATGGCCGGCGTTCAATAGCTTGCTCTCCTCTTGATCATCCCCTTCTTCCTTGAAAAGCCAACCAGAATGTGCCAGGGGCAGCTGAACTGGCTTGTTTCGAATGTCATTTTTCAAGCCTGGGTCATCCAGGAACTGGGACCAAAGAACGAAAGAGAAAACGGCCGGTTAAAGAAGAGGACCGTTCCTGGAGACTATTTCACACGCTATCCCAGGAGTCTGTTTTTGGGACAACAATGATCTGGGGGGTTTTCTAATCTTTCTTAGTCTTTTTTTTTTTTAATGTCAAGCTGGCCGGTTGTCTGGAATCTCTCAGCCTCTAAACTGAATGAACAAGCCAACCAACCAATAAAGGCGGCCGAGGTAGTTTGGGATCCAGTATCAGGTGAGAATGTATTCTTGCTTTGGGGAGAGAATAGATGTTACGGTTTGTAAAACCTCTCACTGTAAATGCAAAACGACGTTCTGAGCTTTGGACGGCTTGGTTTGAAACGCTTTGCCCAAAAGTTCAAACCGGGTTTATTTTACAATCAAGAGTGAAACCCTTCATGAAATGTTGTGCTCAAACTGTTTGGAGACGGAACATTTTGCACCTTTTTACTTCAAGCCCTTACAGGTAAATTTGTTGGGGGAATATTATGTGTTATGTCAACAAAGAAAGTGCATTTGGTTATCTTGTATTCAGAGTTTAGACCAGGGGTAGGGAACCTTGGCTCTTTTATGACTCGTGGACTTCAACTCCCAGAATTCCTGAGCCAGCATGAGGGAAACTTTGGCCCCTTCATGACTGGTGGACTTCAACTCCCAGAATTCCTAAGCCAGCCATGCTGAGGGGAAAGGGAGAGGTTTCCAAACTGAGCCATGCTGGCTCAGGAATTCTGGGAGTTGAAGTCCACCAGTCATGAAGGGGCCAAAGTTTCCCTCATGCTGGCTCAGGAATTCTGGGAGTTGAAGTTTACGAGTCATAAAAGAGCCAAGGTTGCCTACCCCTGGTCTAGACTGTATTTCATCAACCATTGGCAACATATCAATGTGCAGAGAAATTTTTCCATAGGTACAAGCTTCCTAAACCTGTCCTTCATTCCTACAGCAGAGATCACAAAGGGATACAGAAACAAAATGAAAAAAAAAATGAACACAAAAAAAAGTCATTTTGTGTTAAAATCGTATCAGATTACAATGAATTGAAACATTCCTATTTTAAGGAACATGTTCAATATATACATATACCCTCAACTCCACTTAGCAACAGTGCCCACCAATGCTTTAGAACAGGGATCCCCAACCCCCAGTCCATGGACCCGCACCAGTCCGCGGCCTGCGAGGAATCGATCTGTGCAAGCAAGCAAAGCCCCATCCCTGCACGTGTGGGATATAGGCAACATGTGAAACCATGCCACCCACCCCCCAGCCGTGGAAAAACCGCTCTCTGCGAAACTGGTACACGGCGCCCAAAAGGTTGGGGGCTACTGCCTTAGAGGCTGAGTCCTATGATGATAAAGTTCATATTATTTGGGCAGTTTATGGATGGTTTTTTCCCAAATGTGGCCATTCTCAAACTCACATCATCTTTCTCCAACATGCGCAAAATCTTCTTAGTCTCTTCATCTGTCTCCCTCTTCTCTTTCTTGATGTTGATGATGTGGGATGGGCCAAAATCAGACATATCCACCGACTTATCCCAGGTACCTGCGCAGAAGGCAAGAACAACAGCACTGCCAAGTTGCACATCTCACAATGCAACTTTATGGTGGCCAGCTGAGAAGAGCCTGGGACGGTCAAGTCACCCACACCAGACATTTCATTGAGAGTTAGGTCAAAAAAGCTTTACTAGAATCACCAGTGGACCCATCCAGGTTTATGCAAACAAGGAAAGAGAAGATGAGTCAGGGAGAAGGAATAAGGGAAAAAAGAGGATTCTGGAGAAAGGTGTGATTAATTGATGATCAATGGAATAGTTCTGTGTTCATGCAACATGCTGGAGACAGATTAACAGTTTTCCAAGATGTCTTGTTTGACCAAGAGTTTTTGGGCAAGGGAGCATCACTTGTTCACCCAAGGACGAATTAAGTACTGAGCCTATCCTAGCTTCCTGTCACCTTCTGGTAGCTTTTACAAACAAACAAACAAAAAATGGGAATCCAGTCTGTAGGTGCCAGAGTTGATGTCACAGAGAATCTTGTCCACTTCCTCCCAAATAGCCCCCCACTGAACACTGCCATCTCTGATGGACTTGTTCAACCAGCTTTGATGCTGAGGATTTCTACACCAACCCTCAAGATGCACTATCACAGCTTACTTAAAAGCTTTCCATCAGATTCAGCACATTCCAATTTTACTAATTTATCCCATCCTATTTCACAAGTCTACCTTGATTCACCCTGCGTACTGTAATGCCTGATGCTGGTGGGATGGGAACCCGCCGGCTAAGAGTCTTAAGGAAAGCTTTATCAGTTCACAGTGACAATTAAAAAGCCAAAAGAGTAGCCGTTGGACTGCCCCAACTTAAATCATTCCCAAACCTTTCTTCCTCATCATTTCTGCTGGGCCTTGCTCAAAGATGGAGTGAGACTGAATAACTTCTGGCCTCCCTCTGCCTCGTCCATGGCTTTCCCTCTGCCGATCTCGATCCCGGTCTTTCTTCTCTTTTGTGACAGAAAGGTCCTCTTTGGGCCTAAACAGAAAAAAAAAACCCAGAAAATATGTAATCAATTGCTCAACGAGAGCTAGAGACCTCTGTCTTTAGGATTTAAAAGGTTCCAAAATATTCAGAAGTTTCCTAAGGCCCTTTACATCTCTAGCTTTATAAGGACTGACCCTCTTTCAGACATGCTAAAAGAGCAAATGACAGAGTTGGGAATGGATAGATAGCTGATAGTTGCAGTTAAGTACCTGGCAGTTGACAGGGGGGAAAAGGAAAGGAAAAGAACTATATAAATGAAAGTATCTATAGAGATTCTCAACCTTCCAAATCACGGTTGTCCCAAAGGTGGTTTTTTTTCCCCCAAAAGGCAACTGGATTTTCCTGGTGTTTTCTTTGAAAACATTTCGCTTCTCATCCGAGATTCTTCAATTCTAAACTGAAGAAGCTTCTTGGATGAGAAACGAAACATTTTCAAAGAAAACACCAATGAAGTCTAGTTGTGTTTTGGAAAAAAAAAAGCTTTGGGATATATAAATGAAAAGAACAACAAAACGGATTTTTGTGAAAAAAGACACAAGGCATTCTAAAGGCCTATATGTCTTTCCACAAAATCAACATTTTAATTGTTTATTAACAAGTGGTTACCTGGGCAAATGAGAAACACACGATAATAACCACCCCTGCCAACCACGTATGTTATTCAAAGAGAGCTGATAAAACAGCAGATAAGCACAGTACGAGAACTATATTTTGGTAAGGATAGGGGTAGTATGATTTTAAATGATACTAATTTCTTCCCAAATAATACCTTAGGAAATGTTGACTAAATAAGCCAAGCAACACCTTAGTGCAAAATTATAGGTTGAACAAATAGCGTCAAAATATAGCAACTCAGGAGGTAGATTCATTGGATAACTTCGGGTTAAGGCTGAAACAGATCCTCTTAGTTCTTTATTGACCATTAAGCATTCCTTCATATTAATACACTCCATAAAAACAGCATTGAAAGGGAACTTACTCTTCTTTGATTTTCCTGCTAATAATGTTAGGGGCAAAGGTTTTCTATAAAAAAAAACAACAGGAGACAAGAGAACAAATATAGATTAGGCACAATGTTTTGTTTACGACATTCCTCAGAGTACACAGTGTGCTAAAATTGAAACTCCAATCTTTATTTGATTTGATTTATATAACTACCCGTCTCACATTGACACTATAGTAAGCTATACTATAAAATTAATAAATATAATTGAGATTCTCACATTTCTGTGGGAAGACAATATTTTTTAGCATTCTTCATAGTTGCACCGCTTGGAGAAGATATTTCTTTTAACATGTTTTAATATTTAGGGGCCCCAAATATTTTGCATTCCTTATGACTACAGTATTAAACTCTTGGCTTCAGGTTATGCTTTAAGTTCAATCGAAAATGGACATGTTCTCTTTGTTCTTTCCAAAACAAATACCAACGTCTCAAAATATTTGAATACTAGCATCAGAAGACATCAAGTAAAATTGACCACTACATTTCACAAAAATATGTTTACATATAGAATCAAATATCCTTCACATAAGCAGCCACTTCGCAGTCCTCCAGATAGCTTGCTTATTGCATAACCAATTCAAAGAAGCAAAAGAAACATTTAGAATCCTGAGAATAGCCTGTTTCTATTTTTAAAAAGTTCACTGGCATCGATGCTACCAAACTGAATGAGATCAACGTTTAATGAATTAAAACTCCAAAGTCAGCAGTTTCCCATTTGTCACGATTACTAACATTCCTCATGGTTCTCTGCTCTTCTAGCTCAATAATGACCAAAAGTGTTTTGCCAACTAGAGCAATCTATGAACATGCAGATAAGCATCTGTGCCGCATATTTAGAAATAAAGAGATCCTGATTTTCTTGAAAAGAAGTGGCCTTATCTTGTAATTAAAAGTCAGCATGTTTGGCTTTAATATTCTGGTTTTTCACTGAAAGGAGATTTGGTTGATGAATTGTCTCTCTGAGCTAAATAACTCATCAGCTCTCATTTCACTTGAGGCCTGGAACAAGGAATAGCCACCATCATAAATGCAAGCCAACACCCAAATTTTAACCATGTGATCATGGGGATGCTGCAACAGTCGTTAAGTGTGAAAAAATGGTTTTATCTCACTTTTTTTCAGTGCTGTTGTAACTTTGAATGGTCACTAAACAAATGGTTGTAATCTGTACAATTTCTAAGGAGGCATAGTAAGTCCGTGAATGAGGCAGTCATAACTTATCCTATTGTGCGAATGAGAATAGAGAATAGAATAGAGCTGGAAGGGACCTTGGAGGTCTTCTAGTCCAGCCCCCCGCTCAAGCAGGAGAACCTATACCGTCTCAGAGTGCATGTCTTAGGTCAGTGTCGACTCCTGGCAACTGCTAGTCCCTGTAATTTTCTTGGCAAGGTTTTTCAGAAGGGATTTTGCCCGTGCCTCTTTCCTGAGAGAGGCTGGCCCAAGATTATCCGGGTGGCTTTGTGCCCAAGCAAGACTAGAACTCATGGTCTCCATTTTGTTGGTTGGTGCGTTCACCACCACACCAAACAGACTAACTGCATCCTAGGAATAAAAAATACTGCTGCAAGATGCTTCTTTAGCAAGAGATTCTTGCCTTTTTGACCCCACCAAGGGTAAGATCTCGGGAGCGGATTGAGGGCAGGCGGCCTGCCGAGATTGGCGCAGGAGTCCTTCTCCCTATTAATCCTCGAGCAGCAGGAAGCGTTGGCCGGGCACTCTCGGGATCGCCACTTGACGTTCCTTCGGACATCTTGCAGGACCTGCCAAACAGAAGACGAGTTAGCTGAAAAGACCTTCAAACAAAGATGAAACTTCTCAGTTGCCCCACGGATACGTAGAACGATGGATCTCATTCTCTGCAACACCTTTCTGAGGCGTGGGACCATTGCAGCCCCCACCGGTACCCCATGTGGGTTGGGGATGATGAGATCTGTAGTCTGTGGGGCAGGGCACCGTTCCCACGTTCAGAGCCAAAACCCCACACATTTCCTTCAGACGTCTTCCTTGTGCCTTGTGTTTTTTCCATGGGGACCAGCTGCTTGCAGAGATCTCACCCACACCAGCCATCCTCTCAGGATGCCCACCCAGCGCATGAAAGAACACACGGCGGACCTCTGAAGGAATTATACAGAATAACAGAATTGGAAGGGACCCTGTAGGTCATCTAGTCCAACCCCCTGCTCAAGCAGGAGGCAGCACATCATTTCTGACCAGTGGCTGTCCAATCTCTTCTTGAAAGCTTCTGAAGGCAAGGAAATATGTGGGGTGCCGACTCTGCCCGTGGGAATGGTGCCAACCCACCTCGGGCCCGCAGCCCCACGGACTACTGATCCCATCATCCCCACCCCGCCTGGGGTACCAGTGGGAGCCATAGTGCTCCCACACTTGGGAAGGGCGCTGCGGAGAATGGGACCCGTCGTCCCACGCATCCGGCTAGCGCCGAAAAGAGACGGTCCAGGCCTCTCCTGGGCTAAAGTAAGGACTGAAGACCACCAGGAGAAGCACCAGCGATGCCAGTCCACGCCTCCACCCCCACCCACCCCTCGTCATTGCGAGCTTAACTACAAGAGCTTCGGGAGTGTCTTCCCCTTTCTTCCCGTTCACGCCGCCCTTACGGAAAGCGGCTCCTCGCCTCGTTCTCCTCTCCCGGCCGACGCCTCAGCTTCCCCGGACCGTTCAGGCCTCTCCGCCGGCCCTGCAAACTTAGAACCACTCAGTGCGCATGCGCATGCCGTTCGCCCGCCATCTTGGCCCACGCTCCCACCTGTTCCGTATTCCTTAATGCGTTCCGCATTCCGCCATGCTTGTCGCGGGCATGGCTTCTTCTCCGCCCCGCCCCTCCCTTCTGACAGGGGGAAAGCCAGCAGGGAAACCGCCATCTTTGTCGCGGGCGGATGCTGAGCTACGTTGCATTGAATGAGTGAGAGTGGGCTATCCCGTTCGGAGGGGGGAATGCGAAACTACGAGCAAAGTCACCTCATTAAAAAGGATTGACGCTATGATTCAAAGCACGCATTTAGTACAGTCCTCTACACCTAATCTTCTACGTGGCTCTAATATTTTTATTTATTTACTTATTTATTTAGAGAATTTATATGGCCGCCCGCTCACTTTCATTAACCCCTAAGTGGCTTACCAAAAATAAAAACCCAATATACAAAGAGTAAAAGCAATAACTCCCCACCCTCCTATTATTATTTTTGCATTTTATGTCCTATTAAATTCAGTAGGATGTACATCCAAAGGGGCAATGTGTTCTGTTTGGTTAGTGCTTGGAATAAAGTCAGATAGCGAGTTATAAACAGAGATTAATGGATTCATTTTGGGACTTCATTCAAGTACCAGCAGCTCATTCAGCAAAGAATGGCTTAGAGCAGTCTTACTTAAACTTTTTGCTCTAAAGACCCACTTTTAGAAATAATGGAGGATCCTAAACCAGCTTTTGTTTGTATGGATTATTTTCACCAATATTTACGGTACTGAAAATGAAAACTGATGCATTCATAGAATATTTATTATTGACTCATAACAATAGCACTTAGACTTATTATATACCACTTCACAGTGCTTTACAGCCCCTCTCAAAGTGGTTTACGGAGTCAGCATATTGCTCCCAACAGTCTGGGTCCTCATGTAAAAATAACAATCGTAAACACATCATATATCAGCATATTTTTCATGAAAAAATCCTATATTTTTAAACAAAAATGAAAACAATGACCATGTTTCTAAAAAAAAAAAAAGCAAATATATTCAATATATATAACAATTTTGATTTTGCAGATCCCTGAGAGTCTTGGGGAATCCCTAGGGGTCCTTGGACAATATTTTAAGAAACACTGGCTTAGAATGTGAACTGTCACAATTGCGCACATTCAATATCAAACTGTATGCGCTAAAAAGACTAGTATTGTGGAATATATATTGAAAAAAACCTGTTTGGGGAAAAATTAATATGGCATTTTTACTGCTTCTCTCAACAGCAACAATTAAAGTCACAGAAATACATAGACTACGGAGGCCATGTTTCCAGGGCTTTCACAAACATACGTTTTTCAAGATTTTCACTGGATGATAGATTTATTCTTTGAAATTGTTTAGATGCATTTTATCCATTAGAATAATAATAAATATCTAATCCAGGCATTCTCTGATAAACAGACCCAATGCATGTGGGAAGCTTGAAATCAGGATGTGGCTGTATGATATGTGATGTGCTATAAAAATATTTGGGCGTTTTTACTTGGAAGTAAGCCTTTAGTTCTCGGTAGGTGACTTGAGGATGTTTGCTTTGAAAAGAATTATAATCACATCGTCGAAGAATGTGAAGAATGTCATACAAGCGCGCTCAACAATGCACGTGTTAATTTAGTCACCTGCAGTGTTATACAACACTATTAATGAATGATTGCAATGAAGCTGCCAATTCCAAACTGTGTTCCGCACCTCACAATCAGAGGTTGAAGGAAGGCTAAACCTCAGGCAAAAATCACCTCTTTCCTGTCGAAATGTGGTTTTTCAGCTGTTAAGGAAATATGGAAGTCTTGGGGTTCTTGGGCATTTGACAGCTGGATTAATGCTTGAGGACAGTATACCATGAAGCAGCTGTTCTGTGGGACTAGGAGACACGGTGGAAGATAAAGCTGCCTATGACCTACAGCCTGCCCTGGCCACATGCCTTGTCCCATAAGTCCTGTGAAGGATTTATCCAATCACCAGAGTTGCACTCTGCCTCCAATCTGGATGATATATGTGGAGGATGCACCATTTCACCATGCGGCTTTTATAGCTGAAAATTACAAGCCGTCTGTTCAAAAAGTGAAGTAAAGTTTAGAGCAGTGGTGGCGAACTTATGGCACGGGTGCCAGAGGCGGCACTCAGAGCCCTCTCTGTGGGCACGTGCGCCGTCGCCCCAGTCCTAGGCCTTCAGCTGGGCTTTATAAAACCTTTTCGCTTTAGGCCTCCGCTGCCGTGTGCAAAAAAAAAAAAAAAGGTTCAATCAGTCAATTTCAA